ATCAGGATGGAGTTAGAGCAACATCCGGGATCTTTATTAAACGGTGGCTGAGAGAGAGAGAGATGGAGAGCAAACGGGTTAGAGCAACAGTCTATTGAATGGAAGGGATCTAGCTCACGTGATGACGGGTTCCTTCTAGGATCGGGCTGAAGAGGATGGCACAGAGACTAACCGGGTTAGTGAGTCAGGTAAGGAGTAGCGTAATGAACTCAAGACCAGACGAAGTGTGACTGCAGTGACTGAGTATTTGAGCTAGTGTTGATGAGGTGGTGACAGGTGCGGCTGATTAGTACTCCGGTGATTGTGAACGGGTGTGTGAGGTGATTGGGCTCCGGTATACCGAAATTGCGAAAGTGGTGGAATAACTGTGTTGCGGTTTCCATGGCCGTGGGTAATTTTCTGAGGGGGAGAAGTTTACATCCTTTAGAGAATCGGTCGACAACTACGAGGATACAGGTGTGTGACTCGGACTCGCGGAGATCGGTGACGAAGTCGACTCCGATGTGGGACCGGGCCCGGTGAGGTATGGGAAGTGATACCAGCTTGCCTTGTGGCAGGGGACGGGGAGATTTGGTGATGGCACAGACTGAGCATCCTTGGACAAAGCGCCTGACTTCTCGCGCCATAGCGGGCCACCAGTAGCGAGTTTCGAGGAGCGAGAGGGTTTGCTGGCTGCCTGGATGTCCAGAGCCCGGATGGGTGCATGTTGGGTTAACCAGGGGCGTCCCAGGATGATCTCCGCTATGGAATCCTCCAGCACCAGAAAGGAGATGAGTTCCTCATGAAGGCACCCAATGCGGAGCGTGATGGTGGGGGAGCAGAGCTGGATCCTCCCACGACCCAACGGCTTTCCTTGGATGGTGAGGATATTGAGGACATGGGCATGTTTCAGCGGTCATAGTTGAAGTCGTTGGAGTGTGTTGCGGGATATGAAGTTCCCCGAGGAACCAGAGTCTACAAGGGCTTGCACTGAAAGGGATTGGTGAGATGACATTAATGATACATTCATTCTAGTCAAGGTAGCAATTTGAGGGCTGAGCTGGATAGTACTCACCGAGGGTCGTGAGGGACGAATAGGACACGAGCGAATCAAGTGTCCCTGCTCCACACAATACAGACAGGGTCCGGTTGTTATTCGCCGTGAACGCTCCGCATGGGTGAGATGGTACGAATCCACTTGCATGGGTTCGGGTGCTGGAGCCGGTGAGGCGGTTGTGCTCGGTGAGGCGAGTGGCTGGACCGGAGTACAGGCCAGGAGATGTTGGGAGATCTTGATAGCCTTTTGGATGAAATTCTCCAATCCCACGGTGTCGTCAAATATCACCATTTGGAGGCGAATGTCGGCGTTCAGCCCTTGCCGGAACGCGGTCAGTAAGGCCACCTCATTCCATCCACTAATCACCGCCAGAGTGCGGAATTTGATGGCATACTCGCTCACGGAGGCCTTGCCCTGACAGATGCGGAAGAGCTCCGTCATGAACGGAGATCTCAGCCGCAGTGTGACTAAACACCTCCTTGAAGTGTGCGGTGAAAGTCGATAAGAGTGCGAATGGCCTGACTGTTACTCTCCCACATGGACTGGGCCCAGTGCAGAGCACGGCCGGCGAGATGAGAGATCATGAAGGCCACCTTGGCGCGGTCATTGGGAAAGGCTTGTGATTGCATCTCGAAGTATAGGGAACATTGTAACAAGAAGCCACCACAATCCGCCGCCTCACCGGAGAAGATAGCGGGCCGTGCCATGGGACTGTGGGAGGCAGACACAACGGGTGTACGGAAGGCTTGGATTAAATCCTCCAGTGATGGGGGGTTCGGTGGTTGTGGCTCCATGGAGAGTTTGGGGTGGGTCTGGTCTTCTGTCACAGTACAGAAGGAGACCAAGGACGGAGAGGTAAGGTAAACAGGGATCTTTATTAAACTGTGGCTGAGAGAGAGAGAGAGATGTAGAGCAAACGGGTTAGAGCAACAGTCTATTGAATGGAAGGGATCTAGCTCACGTGATGACGGGTTCCTTCTAGGATCGGGCTGAAGAGGATGGCACAGAGACAGGTAGGTATCAGGATGGAGTCCGGGTTAGTGAGTCAGGTAAGGAGTAGCGTAGTGAACTCAAGACCAGACGAAGTGTGACTGCAGTGACTGAGTATTTGAGCTAGTGTTGATGAGGTGGTGACAGGTGCGGCTGATTAGTACTCCGGTGATTGTGAACGGGTGTGTGAGGTGATTGGGCCTGACGAGGCTGGACTATCCCTGACAGGTGGTAGCTGAAGCAGTTTCTAACACTTATCATAATGACTGTGAGGCTTTAGAATAGATATGACCTTTGTGTTGGGGATATTTGGTTGAAGGTCCACTATATTATGGGAACAAATATTAATAATATTAATGGCCTTATTTAGCCCTAATATTTCAGCACTTTTTTTAAGCACCAGGGGTCCCATGTTTTGAAACATTTCTCTGTTTTGATGAATATCTGCGTAATATTAGTCATACTCTCTCCCTAAAGAACCACAACCACAGAGAATTGCTTTCAACTTGCTTTCAAGCATCCATTTTCTTTGAACATGCCAACATGGTCAAACAATGGCAGATGACATTTAAATGTATATTTCATCTGTACTTCAAAGAGGCTGACAGTGACATTTGGTGATTTTTTAGTTTATTTTTCTTCAAATCCAATAGAGTGAATTAATCAAAATTCCATGTTGGTTGGTTTATTTATTTTAATTAATTATAAGGGGGATTTCAGTCCATAATCTTTGCTTCTTAACTAAACAGTCCGCTATATGTGGTATTGGATCTGAAAAAGACAGGATCCACTTTTGACTGTTTATGTGCATTAAGAGCATGAACAACGTCATTTACATATTTAGCAGAATCCTTTTATCCAAAGCGACATACAACGCATTAATGCATTCAAGATACAGATCAATTCATGCAATCACTGAGAATCAAACCCATGGCCTTACTAATGCTCTACTGTTTGCTCTACAGAAATGCTGCAATTTGAACTAGATTTCAAAGTCCTTGTGGGTTAATAAAAAATATTTTGTTCATACATTGCATGCGACATGGCTGCTAAGCTTTCTGCTACCAGCTTTGGTGAAAAATGCTAAATCCATTAGGTTTAATACCATAACACAACCCTTTCCAATTAAGGAACAGATAAATGGTCAGTGGCTCTATTTTACTGACGAGGAGACCCTCTGATAGGATTCAAAACCTATTGATCACAAGATCAATTTTTGTTTGTTTTGGATTGGGCTGAAATATGTAGGTGTGCTATATTATCAACAGGAACAGAGGACAGAGGGACATTTGCCCTGTTAGTGTGTTTATTTTATCTCCCCATCATATATAATGAATGGATTCAGATGGTAAATGACAAAGTCCAGCCCACTTACGCTTCTCTTCCTCGAACAGATGGAGCCTAAAGGTGTTATAGGTGGAATTATAGGTGGAAAGTGTTTGTGTCTCTGTGTGTGCGCTTGTCATGAAAAATTATGTTTACTTTAGGTTATTTGTTGCTGATCACAAAAAATTATAGTCCTGTCTTTGACTTCTGTTTTGTTTTCATGCTCAGAAATATTACTCTCCACGTCAGCGTTTAATAAGTGATATCTCTGCTGCAAAATTTACATAAATGCAATGGATACAGTTTTATTGAGGTAGAAAATAAGATGCACATTATTCATGACTCTGGCTGTTTTCTGTGTGCCTACAAGGAGTGTAAAGCAGAAATAAACACTTTCCATATATAAATTATGTCTCTTATGGTATTGGTGAAAGGCTTTTTGTTCTAACATGTAAGTACTCAGGACAAGCAATTCTAGCTCACTGTCTTAAAAAAAGTGAAGAATGTCAAGGAAATCAATTTATCCTAACATGCCATGGTGCATTTCGACTTTTGCATTATTTGTTGAGAAAAAAGTTCTTTATGGTTCCCCTTTTTATTATTTAGCATCTCTCTGGTGGATCTGCCACAAAGTACAGGTGCAGCGGCATTTTGTCAGGCAGAATAATGCTTTAAGCAAATGACTTTGAAACTCAGGAGGAAAATCTACTGTACAGCTTACAAAGGTGCTCAGCAGCAGCTCTGATGTCTCAATCAGGTTTTATATCAAAGTAGCACAGGAACGTGTTGCATAATTGCAGCTGTCATTGTGCCCGACTCAAAGACAAACATTTTAAGACTTTTTACATGGTGTAGGAAGAGTTTAGAATGTATTTGGCATGTCATACAGGGTGTTTTACAGTATAACTGTCACGAATCCGACATGCACAGGTCTGTCATCAAAAGCAATTATTATGAAAGTTCTGTGATAATTTACTCGCTCTAATGTAATTCCAAAACAATTCCAAAACACCTTTCTTCTGTTGAACACAGCAGGTCAAATATTGCAGAAAGTACTGGCCTCTCAAAATAAGTGAAAGCAGGGTTTCTGTAGGTTTTATGAAGGTCAGTTTAAACATTAAGACTTTTTAAGATGAAATAAAGAAAATGTAAGGACCAAATATCAATATGTTCTCTAAATGTAAATATCTAGGCAGAAAATGAGGTGTATTAGCAACTTACAACAGATCTCTATTTCTCTATTTTTATAAAAAAGCTTAACTACAATATAGAAATACCTTTTACTGCATCCTTTTCATACCTTTCATTGACAGATATTTGTTCTTGTTTTAAGCATAAAACTCACTTAATTTTGATCATGTTTTCAGAAAAAAAGACCAACTATATCTCCATGTTATATTTCAAGTGAACGTATCTTGATTTAAGGCTGATTTGATGTTTGTATTGAAAAACAAGACAAAAATACTGTGGAAGATATTAATTTTTTTGCAGTTCATGCAACATTTTATGCCATGGCTTCATGAATCTAAGACTTTCTGCTCTGATTTGATTTCATAACTTCTGAAGGCCATAGTCTGTTGAAGCAAGATTTAAGACTTTTTGAGACATTTTTAAGACCCGCAGAAACCCTGTGAAAGTTGAATAAGGCATAAGGTGATAAGAACGTCCTGCTCAAAGCTGTCAGATCCAACAAAAAATAGTTCTAGATGCACAGAATCCAGTAAAATGCATCTAATGTTTGTATAGTCTAATAAAGGAAACTAGACACCAATTAAGTACATTTATTTTAGTTTAAAATGTGATTTTAGTCCATTAATTCATTATATTTAGTAGACTGAATAGGTAATTTACATTGTATCACAAATTAAGTCACTATTAATAAAGCTTATTGGTGATTAAACGCATGTTATCATCCAACATCACAAAAGTAGGCGTTCCAGCTAATATAAACCAATATTAACATATAGTAGTAAATTTATCTCTCTACTGTGTGTCCCAAATCGTCCCACAAAATCACACCTGCTGTCCTGTAAAAGAGCAATAACTAGGTGGGCACCCTATTCAGGCACCTTAAAAGTATGTACAGTATGTCATATTATATATTTCAAATATGCCAAAGTTATTGTATGGCTCGAAATATAAAGTAGCACACAAGTTTATCACTGCCATAAAATACAACTTGATGGCACAAATGACCGATACTTTATGCTTCATATAAATTGTTGCCTCAATCTTATGAGCATAATAAACAGGATTTGGATTTCATTGTCAAACTCGCAGGGTCATTTTGAAAGGCCAGTTAAAAGTCATGCCGAAGTTTCTTATAAAATTGATTTTTTTAACATGGCTCCCTTCTGGTGAGGCTTGAATATTCAACAGTGTTTACAACTGGTGGGAAAAAAAACCCATAGCTAATAGATGCTGCCTGCTGGATGTGTCTCAGAGCCCTGTTCTCGCAGGACACCTTGTTGTTTTTCACATTGTCTGATTTTTGCATCTATAGGGACGAACATCTTGAAGAGTATTTCCTCTAGAGGGACACACAAATGAGAGGAGACGGTAGATGACAGTGCAGACAGGAATTCAAGGGAAAGTGTTTGCACAGAGAGAGCCTTTGCTGCACACTCGACTGAGTCGCCAAACAAGAACAAAGGAGAAGGAAGCCAAAGGTAAATATTTGTTAACCATGGCAGATAAGTGGAAGCTGAAGCAGAGTTTTATATAGATCATGTCTAGTCCCATTAATTAGAGTGGAATTTCAGCTACTCTGTCGCTTTTTTAGATCCTCAGTCGGTTCCTCTCAGCTGTAATAATGATTTGTTTAGTTTGTGCATTTGTGTTGCACTGCACAAATTCTATTCTAACTTCTTTTTAGTTCACATTATCCTGTTTAGTTGAAAGGTAAATCATGCCATTTCTGTGACACCAACTTTTCTGTCATATGTTTTGTTTCTTTGATGAAAATATCCAATAAATGTATTCAATATTTCATCATGGCATATTCACTCATTTAAATTCAGACTGAAATGCCATATTTTTTTGTTGGCAAAAAGAACACAATATTGATGAGGAAGTGCCAAATATTAAAACAAATATATTGCATTAATGTATCAAAATTTAACAACAACAACCTGTCATTTTTACATGACTGGTTTAAAGTTGACAAACCAGTCTAATCCAATCAGGCATAGTTGGCAACTTTTTCTGTCAACTCAGGCTTTGTTTTTGAATAACTCTGTGCACATTAAAGTATAACATCTGACATCTTTGTTGAAGATAAGAGATTGTTATGAAAAAAATATGAAAAGTTCAAACACATTTAAACAGCAAGAAGGGGACAACTAAAAGAAAACATATGGCGGTCCCACTTTATATTACATGGCCTTATCTGTAATTACATCAAAAATAAGTACAATGTACTTATTGTGTCCTTATTGTATTGCAAAACACTTTTGCTGCTATTGAGGTGGGATATGGGTAAGGTTAGGGACAGGTTTGGCGGTT